CTATACTTTGATGCCATGTAGAAATATTTGCCATGTTAAATCTCCTTCTCTTATGTCGGATGAAGTGGACTTGTCTATGAAAGCTCACACTAAAAATGTAAAAGTTAGTCTTTTACATTTTAGCTCACACTAAAAAAAATGTAAAAGTTAGTTTTTAAGGTGCCACCAAGTTTTTGTCTTTTACTTTTTATTTTGTTTTCCCCTGTCATAACTACATTAAGAATTCCCATCAGCCCACTGTTGGTTAGGGATGATGGAGGTTGTAATCAGAGATAAGTGGAGGGTGCCACTTAATAACAGCAACAATCTTAAAATTACAGAGCTGGAAAGGGACCCTGTGGGTCATGAGTTTAAACCCTGTCAAGAAGGAAGACAGTGTGGGAATTGAACTCCCATTCCCTTTGGGGGAGGCTCATCACTGAGTATGAATCAAATCGTTTTGGCACTTTTATCACTCCCTTTAAACTAAATGGTCAGTGTTTTGGTTCTCAGAGTCTGCTTCAGCTGTGCTTATCTCATTGCAGTGTCATGTCTGTGCCAGATCCACAAATAACCCGGCTCCTTCCTTCCTTCCTTCCTTCCTTCCTTCCTTCCTTCCTTCCTTCCTTCCTTCCTTCCTTCCCCTGCGCATTCTTCTCTTTCTGTTTAATAAGAAATTGCCGCAGGACATTTTATTTCCCTTCTTCCAAAGATTCCTGAAAGTACGGCCACTGAGTTCCCATCCCCCACTCCTCTACATGCCACTGTATTTCAGCACTTCTGGGTGAAACCTTTACTGGGGCAGGCAGGAAGCAGAATGGGTCCACACACACACACACAGGAGACCTTGAAGATTTTGGAACTCCTCCATCACCTCCTCCTTCCCCCTTATTTTAGCCAGCTATAGCAGAGAGTAATTTAAAACCAACTTGCTGTAATCACTGCCACATGCCTGAGGTTCCTCCATTCATCTCCCCTTTCCACAGGGTATGTGAGTCACTCAGCTCTGGTCTGCGGGCCGACACAAAAGAAGGGCTTTCCAAAAATAATGGAAATAGCCAGGCCTTCCCCTTAAGAACCCTGGCAAGTCTGGGTGTGGATGGGCCCCCGGGGATGAAGATGGTCCGAGAACCAGCCCCAGGAGTTTAGAGCATGGCCTGAAAGTGTTAGAAGTTTTCTCTGCATATGCATATGTGCACACACGTGTGTGCATGTATCTGTGTATATGTATGTAGGGAGCTGAAGCAGTGCAGTATCCTTAGATCACAGGTGAATAGACAGAAGGTTCTCAGGTTTAAAGATGTTCCCAGAAACGTAGTGGTATGTTGGCATAATTCATGTGCATAGCATGCATCACTGCAACACAGTATGTCTGCCTGTGTAAATTAAAATAATAAATAAATCTAGGATTCCACCCACTTGCCGCCTTATGCACGCTTATGTCAGAACTTACTCCCCCCTCCCACAGCCACACCCACACTACTACACCAAGATCTCCTAGCTTGAGCCTGGATAATTCTCAGTGCACTAATATTATTACCAGAATTGAACAGAGCTTGGCGCAGTGGTTAAAACGCTGTATTGCAGCTAAAACTGTGCTCACAACCTGGGGTTCAAATCCCAGGTAGCCGGCTCAAGGTTGACTCAGCCTTCTATCCTTCCGAGGTCGGTAAAATGAGTACCCAGCTTGCTGGGGGGGGGCCAATGTGTAGCCTGTATAATTAAATTGTAAACCGCCCGGAGAGTGCTTGTAGCGCTATGGGGCGGTATATAAGTCCAAAAACAAAAAAAAATTCCACACAGACATCTACTCCTGGTTATGTCAAACTTCCTTCATTTCGACAGTGTCGTTTAGCACCAGGAGGGGTCATTTTATTGAGGCTGTTAAGCAGTAGGGCATCAAATGTCCCACAAATAACCAAGAAAAAGAATAGGAAAAGGCTGTGCCAGTACTTCAATGCAAAAGTAGTGCAGTATCCTTATTAGGCCACTAAAAACAAAACAAAACCCACAAGCCTTTGTGGATAACATCGCACACTTTCAGGTTTATGGTGCAATATTGATGGATAAAGCAGAAGAATTGTAAATAGAAGCCCCAAAGGTTCATGGCAGATGTCTGTGCCAGGTCTGCTTGATGACGTTTCCTTTGGGTTGTGGGCTTTGGGGGAAAGGCGACACACGGACCTAGCAGGAAGCCCAAGGTGGTTTGGCCCACACATTCCATGTTTTTGAAACATGAAGTTTCCTTTGGGTTATGGGGCTTTGGGGGAAAGGCTACACAGGGACCTAGCAGGAAGCCCAAGGTGGTTTGGATCTCTCTGAGGGTGAGGGTGAAGTGCCGGTTGTAAAGGGGTCAGGCGGGAAGCTTCAACAGCGACACACACAAAGACATGGTTGACAAAAAAAGCTCATGATAGTCATGATATTTCACCCCTCAAGGAAATGTCTTTCTATGCCTGCCAGCCAGTCCTTCCAAAAACAGAAGTGAGGGGTACTTGTACAGGAGGATCTCCCAGCGAAACAAGCTGCATGGGTCAAAACGTGTGTGCAGGTGCCATTGTTAGGTACTGGAAGACCTGTCTCTGAGCAATAGTGATGGCTGGTGAGCAGTTGGTCAATTGATTGATAATCAATTGTATCATCTGCTTTTCCACAAGGTGGCACTTTGAGTGTCTTACAGTTAAAAATGAAACCCATCAAGTTTTTTAAAAAAAGATATGGATGAGAATAACTCCATTAAAATGATCACATCACACACACATCTATCTTACTCTGAAGGTGCATTCATTCCTTATCAGCTTAAGGTCTGATGCCAACACCTGTCTAGGGACTGGATAAGCCACTTCCTTAGGGGGGCGGGGCATCTGACAATGGCTCAGTTTTTTTTCCAGTAGAGCCAAGAGAAGCTGGGGAAGCCATTTTTGTTCATTCTCCCCTACATCCTCCCCTCCTCTTCCTTGCCTTGCTGGGAAGAGGACTTTGTGATCTTTAGCTTCAGAATTTTGCAGGTGATTCGAAGAAGATTTGCAGGGAGAATAGAGACATTTGGCTGTTCCAGCTTGACTTAAGCAGGAAATCTGCCTTCCCCCCCCCCTCCACCTCCACCTGCAAGCACAGGCTAAGAAATTCCAGTTGTACCTGATGGCTGTATGCGCATAGTGGCAAATCCTGTCTGTTTCACAGGAACTAGGATGGTGTCTTTTAAAGAGATGATTTCTCTCCTCACCCCACCCCACCCACACTTCTCCTCCTTCTCAAGAACTCATTTCGTTTCACGCCACATGGCTTGTCTTCCTACTCTTGAATAATCCCTGTAGCTCTTTTCTACAAACACCACCTAGACGTCTTTGCCCCAGCCTTGGGAGAAACTGCCCTGCTGAGTCAGGTCAGGGTCCACCAAACCCAGAAGCGCCGTCCCCCCTCCAAGTACTCACAAGAAGGCAAGGGAGAGGGAAGAACTCCCTTGCTGGTTGAATTGACAGCCGTTGATATTCTGAGGTAGACTGCTACTGTGGGTGGAGGCTTTGTTTTAAGCTACGATGACTAAGGGCATTCATTTGAAAGTGGCTGTGGAGGGAGAGCTGAGAGAGGATGATGGTGGCACACACCATGTTGTGCTGTGAGGTCCAAGGCCGGCTCAAGATATTTTGCTGCCAAGAAGTAAAGAACTGAGTAGAGTTCTCCTTCCATTCTGTACACAAGAGCCTGCTGGACTGGCTTTTTCCATACAGGGAATGGGACAAGAGCCTCCAACCACACCTGCAGCAGCAGGCTAGGGAGGGGCTCTGAACGGACTGTCTGGCACATACAAAAAGCTCTCTCCTCCACCACCTTTGTTGTTGCCCCCCCACCCCTCAAAAAAGCACCTGCCATCTCAAGTTACCCTTTCACTCTGCTTGAGGGTAGGGCTAGCTTGGTGGGGATCCAGTGGTTTAGTGGGGACATGAAGAGGGCAGCTCCATCTCCCACCCCCACCTCCTTTCTTCTTAACTTTGCCACGGCAGGAATGATCTCGTCTCCCACAGAGGCAGGAATTGCCAGTATTGCACAGTTGGAATACAGCATGCGCTCCGTTCATTAGATTTACCTTGCAAGAGCCTTTCTGGCACTATTTCAAAAGCCCTAACCACTTTGGTTTTCGAGAATAAGAGTATGTTGGAATGTAGCCCAGCTGCTCTGCAACCTGCTGCAAACGGTTGAACGTCAACAGCATGTGCAACAGTATACTGAATGGGGCTTCAAGGTAATTGTTGCCATTTACTCGGCTTTCCTTTCCCGAATTTATCCTTACCCCACTTGATCCTCATAGCGGTGTTGTGAGATGGGCCAGTCTGGGACAGTGAGAAACCCCTGGTCACACCTAGTGAACTCCTTGACCGATCGGGGTGGGTGGAGTCCGGGACCTCCAGCCAAAGTCTGACATGCCAGTTGTAGTGAGATGAGGAAAGTTTTGTTGTTGTTTAATGAAACTTCAAAAAACCCATAGCTAGCATGGTAAGGGCCATGTTACATGGGGATTCTGGGAATGGTAGTTCCAAAAAACCGCTGTCCATCTCTCTGACTAGCCAGCTTGCTATCCCGTAGTTGTCTACAGGTCTTATATAGTTGCTGTTTAGAGTTTTATATATCATGGATCAGAACTTGGGAATGAGTGATAACCGATAATGTAGTTTGTTGTAATTAGTAATTTTTTTGGGGGGGGGGCTAATCAGGGTATAATAATTCTTAGCAGGCCAGGAGTCAGTTGATCTAATACTTTGAAAAGTTGCTTTTGTTCATTTTGACAAGATTTTTTTTTCAAACTTTACACCATTCTCTTGTCAATCCAAGGTCTCTCCCCCACCACAACAACAAAAGTAACAAGCAAGGACAACAAGGATTGCAAGAAGTTATTTCTTTGGTATTGTAATGCATAATGACATTAGGCAACTGTTCAGATACCATAATGATTCCTGGGAACAAATCTCTCAATATTAACTTGCCAAATTCTATTGCAGATGCTGCATTTTGTAAGCGGCCTGCCTTGCATCACAATGCACTCTCTTCAAGGGGTTGCTGGTGGGGTTCACATCCTCAGGATGTGGCAACAAAGGTTTTCACAGGCTGCTGTCTTCTCACACTCTGATTCATCTTGAGTCCTGGTTCACACTGGGGGCAGAAGGGACAAGATGTGAGTTCTACTTCAACTCCAGGCAGTTTTTGAATACCTACAGATCCTCAGTAGGAAGATTTCCATACACACACAAACACACCCCTTCTCTAAAAGTTGTGGCCTGTATTTCTAATGGCATCTTTAAGCATCCTTGCTGAGTGAAGAATGGCTTTGTCTTCCTCTACTAGCTGCTAGGGGAAGTCTTAGGGCTTTCCACTTCAAAGAGAGATGATCCCATCTTGGCCACTGTGGCATACAATGCATTTGGTGTGGTCACCTTTGAATCTCCAGTCTCCTTCCTCTCCTGTGTATAATTTCTCCCCTGGAGGTAGGGTGGAAGTGAACCATTTCCAGCTTCCTGAGCAAATACTGTATCTTTGTGTTATGTCCACCTTCTGAAAATATTCCTCATTTAAATAATACAGTATAGTAGGACCCCCATATCTGCTGGGGTTAGATTCCAAGTCCCCTCATGGATCCTGAAATCCTCAGATAATAGCAAACGCTATGTATATACAGTCAAACCTCAACTTACAAACGTCCCTACTTATGAACTTTTCAACTTACGAACAGCTCCAACAGAGAAATGTTGCTTTGACTTGTGCACGGAGCTTCGACATAAGAACGGAAACAGGCAGGGGGGGAAAG